TTTAAAAGTTTCCATAACGTACTTCGACTCATTTCTGGGTAATTCTTATCATCTCGAACTGAGACAAGAACTTTATCCAATGTTGGAAATTCTTGTCTAAAGAAGAATTCATGCACTTTCCGTCGAAGTCCTTCTATAAAATGATATTCTATTTGAAATTTTGGTTTCCCTGGAGCATTACGTGGCATTTGAAAACTACCACATTTCTCTTCTTTAATAACTCTGTAAATCGTAGATTTCCCAACACCAAGTGTACTGCTAACTAACACAACGGTCTCATCAACACTTTCACATAAACGTTTGTCTGTAAATGATTTAAAACAATTAAATATTAATGTTTTTTCATTAACTGTTAAAGGACCAATTTTTCGGCGTTTACACGGCACTTCCAAATTTTCCATAACACTAGTATACACAATAAACTGCACCTTGCAACTGAAGTACCTACTTTTAGTGAACTGTTAAGAATTTTGAATACGCCACTTGGACCTTCCTATAAAATGGAAAAAACCCACTATCACATTTTCTGTGGAATAAGATTAGAAGGTAATTATCTAGTCAATTACTGTCGTAGATTCCTGGAATTAAAGAATTAAATATTTGATTATTGAAACCCTTACTTCGTGGAATGCACTCATTTCAGATAAAATAAAACGTTTTATTTTATCTAAAGAATTAAACTTTATTTTGCAAATAGGTAGGAACTTATTAAACTTTTATTGGTTATATATAACCAATAAAATAAACATCTTACATTTCTTGCAAATTCATTAGTACCTGTTAACCTCCATCACTCCGACACTGGCAACCTTATTTAGGGATTAGTAACCCTCACAACTATTGTATTCTATTCTGCTCCAACCTTTATACCTGGTGGTCATACTCAATTTAAAATTGTTTTCCTATATTCTTCTGTAAACTTGTTGACAAATATCTGTTTTTCATTGAGTCACCCGTATCAACAGTTTAGGGATTTGCATACATAATTTATTGTTTTATTACTCTCTCATTCATAAAAATACACTATAAGAGTAAAAAATAATTGTGTAACATATCTATGGTTTTTAAGAGACCTATTTTATTTTATGTACATTTTAGGAAACTTAACAAAATGATTTTTAATAAAGGTATTTTAGGATAATATAAGACATTGGATTTTATTGTTTTCTATTAAATATACAAAAAAATATATTGTTTACTTAACTTATAATCACTTGGGGTTTCCAAGAACTAATAAGTTATGCAAAATAATTGTTCCTGGGTTAAAATAAGCTAAATTGACAATTTCCTAATTGCTTCTTAGATCTTGTTAAATTCTGTAATACCGTTATTGAACTGACCAGCCTATTATTATGCGTCGCTAATTTGTGCATGCTTTGTACGCGTGAAAGATTTTACATATTTGCAAAATTTATAGAACTGCCTTTTATGTACTTAGACACCATAAGAGATTTGTATGCATAAAAATGGTAAAGGCATGTAGGTATGTCTGCGTTGTGTATTGAAGCATCGTGACAAAGACTCTTTAACACGGTGCTAATTATCAAGAAGATGACCATTGACCCACAGAAAGGTACCGTTAAGAGTTAAACATATGCAACAATTTTAAAAACAAACTAAATTATGGATTGCATCTCGTGTATGTCACCATTAAACTCTAACTTAAAAAAGTTGAGTGTACCTCGATATCGACTGTACCGCATATTTACATAAGGATATTTATGGACATCGGTACCTCCTTAAGTTCTCGAATATTGATAGATAGCCTTATATATTGGAAGTTAAATATATTTCCCTGATCGATAAGTTAATATCTGATCATTAGAACAATTAAGTCGCTATATTAAAAAACGAATCATAGAATATTGACCACATAAAAGTCGTACTGTATATTCTCGATCTTGGAAATAAAGCGCAATTATTGTAATTAAAATCTATATATGTATATATATATATACACATATATATATATATATATATATATATATATATATATATATATACATACGAGTATACGACCGTCAATCCAATATAAATTAAGGATCACTCGAAAAGTGGTGGGTTTTTCGGTCAAAAGGTAGAAAAAAAAAGACAAAGAAGGTGATTTCATTTATTTATTGAAGACGTTTCGCTTTCTAATCAGAAAACATCATCACTTTATCTAAAAAGAACAATATGAAAAACCAAACATCCAAAGAAAAGTTATTAAGTATGTTACCTCAAAAAGACATGTAGCAGTCAATGATATTAAAATTGTAAAGAAGCTTCTGACAATGGACATTAAAAGATTATGTTGTATAAACAATAAATTGAACTAATATAATGAAAAACGAAACTATTTTACGATTTTTGAACTAATATAGTTAACAATTTTTTCTAACTTAGCACAGCAAAAGAACATGTGGTAGTTGTACATGTATATAATTATGTAAAAAAAGTATAAAAAAAACACATTAATATGAAGAACAACTAGAAAGATCTAAGATGCACTTCCAACAGTATATCAATAGTTAAAGTTTAATTTTGACTTTAGGTAGAATTATTAAAGTGATGGATTGAAATTTAGTAATTTAAAAGTATGATGAAGTTACCACTATGAACTTCTGCCGGTGAAATGAAGGCAACATGTGTTAATAACGCCAACAACGTGAAAAGACAGTGGCCTTGAGGTCAACGCGTGACAGATCTACAAGGCGTAGTACGAACTCTAATACGTTCTAATAAGTTCTTTTTCTAAAAAGTTAAATACGTGATTAGTGATCTAACATATTTATATATATATATATATATATATTATATATATGTCTTCATATCAAGGCGAGATCCGTATGTATCATAAGCTATACAAAATGAGATCCGTTTTGCAAGGCGAGATCCGATTTTGGATCTCACCTTGCATTCACGTGTATATCGTGACATCTCGATGTAACAATGATGGGGGTACAAAGAAATCGATTTTTGTCTGGACCTCATTTTGCACCCCTTTTCGTGAATTTTATATTGCAGTAGTTCCACTAAATCCGCTGTAGAGGCAGTGCGAGCGATCCGTTGTGTATATGCTAAATAAACATTTTGTAGACAACCCGAGATCCGGTAAATTTGGCAACATCGCAAATGAATTTTACAGTCAGACCTCTCACGCTCTCACTCCCTTCTGCTTATTTCCGGTTTGAATAATATTATTTACATTATTAAAGAGCTCTGTCCAGAAAGGCGATTGAAAAATAACTCGAGAACTAGACGTCGTATCGAAAAAACTTGGGAATTCTTTTTTAATGGTTTTTCAAAATCTATATACTTATGCAATAGCAGGGTTCTTATTCTCCCTGCGAACGCGGTGGGTGTAGCAACTTTGAATTTTCAACTGGAACCCTTCATTTTTATTTAAATAAACATTTTGAAATTAGATTAGAACTATTACGGATATAGATATAAAATTAGAATAATTAATTAAATTAGAAATTTAGAGTTGAAAATACACAACTTTTGTGTAAATTTATAATAGCTTCTTTAACCAGTGGGAAGAGCTTCAAAATCGTCGTTTTGATGACATTTTTAGGAGTTAGATGATTTTAAGTAATTTTTTAGATAAAATTATGTAGAACACATTGGTAAGTACTCGAAGTCTAAAAAATTTCGGAGACATTGTTTATTTGTAGTATTATTTTTTTACAATTTTTCTTCGCATATCTTCTCCACTGTTTGTTTTACAAAAAATGTAAAAAACTTATTTTAATCGCTTTTAAAAGACCTACAAAATAAATCTAACCGCGTTCAATTTGAATGAGAGTTACAAACACAAATCTGTTTTGCATATAATTTATAATTAAGGGACCAACTATGCTGTTCACGTACTATATTAAGATTCCACGGGAATATTTTTCAATATATGTAGTTCATTTATGCTAAACTTGGACACTGTACGTCAAATAGTTTACGAGCTATAGCTTTATAAACAAATTAACTTTATATTTCCTTTAAATTCGTTTACTGAAGAAAATCCAAATTTAGCTATACAGCTCGCACTCCCTCGTAGGGGAAAATTCACTCATCCCAGATACCCACGTTATCAAAAGGATTGACCTGTGGGACTCTTTCTGTGTTCGATTCCTAGGTGACTTGGTACATCGGGGTTTGTCCAAAAATTTTCATACATTATTATCTAGTATTATATAAAGTTTATTAAGGACGTTGTAACGGCGTTAAAATTCAAAAGCTTGTGATATATAAAACATCTAAAATTGCAACGGTTTTTCCCTGGCAGCAAATTTCACGTTCAAGAACAAAGGATAGTAATAAAAACAATTAAATCTATGTACCTATTTCTTAATTATTATCTTGTGTTAGTTATCTTACTCTATGTTAGACTCTTCATTACTATAAAAAGAAGTAACACTCTCTATGGTTAAAATTGTTCAGGTCTATCACCTTTTTTGTAACATTTCACTTGGGCCATAATATATTTACAAGAACCAATGAATTTGATCTCGTTTCCGTTTACATGAGCATTGGAGCCCCTGTACAGTCTGACAATTAGAAAAAAACCAATATAATAATTATTATTCGTCACAAAAGGTAAAAATAAACTCATCTTTTACACCTATCAGGAGTATAGTATATGTACTTATGTATGTTTCTTCAACTTGGATTCCGTGCTTAAAACTGGTACCAGCTCTACATTTTCTTTACTCCAGCCAGTTAGCAACAGATTCGGGAGTCAAAGTCTTGGTGTCACACTACATACTCATACCTTTGTTTGGATGAGTATGTACACGAATATTATATATTATACTGTCTGAAGTAGGAGAAAGTTTACATGGACCATTACAAAGATTGTTAGTACTGGTCCAATACAAAACTAATTCTTTTAGGGTTGTAGAGGTTCTTGAACACTATTGATTTTAAAATTCTTGCATAGTCGCCAAATGATTTGCAGTTGGAGGGTTTGCCAACGGCTTGGATTAAACTCATACCTTTAAGAATGTGACCCTTTTGTTACTTTATAATGGTAATGGTAGATATTTAGACATAACTGTAAACTGTCCTATTATAGAACCTTTTTTTTGGGAGGTGGAATCTTCAAAAGACCCTCTGGGATCGGGTGTCAGCCCTTTACCCAGGTGTGTCGGATTCAATCTCTCACGCTTCACCGCATGACGGGACCGCCTACCGACTAAACCACCCCCTCTTCCTCCGACCAACGGGCCTGGAACCGCTCTTAGCAAGCATATCTGGCCTGTCAGCCTTACTCTTCACTTCCCTCTGGCACTTTTCGCGTGCATTACATGGATTTGACGGCCTCCCGGCCTCCGTCACCCGCATAAGGCTCGGGCGAGACTGGCTGGTGAAGCTACCGTCCTGCTCAATCCTTATGCCGGCGAGACAGCCTGGTTGCCCCCCCTTCCACATTGAAACTAACGAGTAGAACCAGTTGGCAATTAACAGTAACACCATTCATTCGTACTTCCATCAATTCAGTTCCGCATTCATACCTTCATTCACTAATTTTGTGGGGTATCTGGACATCCGACGGGATTGGATGTAAAGAGTCTTTTCCAGTCCCATGTCCCACGGCCCTTACCATGAAATAAAATAAATAAATTAGTAAATAAAATAGATAAAAGGAATAAAAGGATTTATTAGATATTATAGAACCTAAGGCAGATTTATTTGATGGTATCGATAAAACTCCTACAGGTACAAGTGACATTGGATATGCTGTAAATTCATATTTGAAAATATTCTCATAATATTTATGTTACTTTCAATTGCCTTGGTTGTTAGTATTTTTTATAAAAGCTCTTGCTCAGCATGAATAATTTTTTTCTTTTCAGAGACAGTTTTATAGTGTTGGAAATGTTGAAAGTACTTCTTGTATGCTGATAAAAATTGGGAGTTCTAACAGTAAGAAGACATTTTGCTAGGCTCTTCTCCATTTTTTTTTTTTGTATATTTAGTAAGGTTATTTGAACATTTGGCGATGCAATCTTATTAGCTGAAATTACGAGAAGAAGATCTACGCTTTTGAAAAATACATTAAATCGTAAAAAACTAATCATGTAGTTTTTGTACAGAATATTCGTCAATTTTCATCCGTTTTTTTTTTTCTATTGTCTACGTTTTGACTTGAGTGGTTGCTTAGGTCTCATGATGCACGAAATTCATCTACCATCATGCCAATCATATTGTAGCTTAACAACCATTCGTCTAGTTTGATGCTGGTTTTAATCAATCTCACGATTCCTCCTGCATCTTTTGAGTTTGTATTTATATGTTTCAAGCTGGATCTACAAATAGTTGGTTAAAGTTTCTGTTCAAACTTTTCACAACAAAATTTTTTCTCATAAAGTCTTCATGCAATTCTGGAGCCTTATCAGCAAGTTTGTACATGTCCAACAAATGTAATGTTCCCCAAAAAGAATAGTTCACATGGTCAAATGCAAAGAAGTAGGGGTACATTTTTCTAAAACTAGAACAAAATGTATTCTCCAGTTTCCGCTTCTTTTAGCAAACGAAAATGGAAATGGAATTTACGGAAAGAAACATGCCGTAATCTGATTTTTGACTCAAGTTCACTGTCATACCTGCTGCTGTTCATTAAAATAATTTAAAACTTCTAATATTAAAAATCTCAGCTCAGTGGATTTCGTGCTATTAGTAAAAAATAATGCACAATGATGTACTTTCGCAATCGAATATACAACACAACAGAATTTCAATGTAAAATCGACCCTAACAACATCGCCATTACTAAAGTCGATTTGAGGTTGACTTCAGATTATGAATCTCGCCCTTCCTCGCATCTCTGCGTTTGCCATTGTGCGGCGTGACATGCCTTTCGATTTATTTATTTTTTTCTTAAACTACTTATCCAATCGACATTCTAAACAAACCGACATGTTCTCTGATGTTTGGTCTATAACTTTTATAGAAAGCCATTTTTTGCTAGACCCAATATTTTTCGGGGTAGAGCGAGGAGAGACGATTTTAAAAGTATGGGTTTTCAGACTCATTCTAAGTCATTTTGTATGAAGGCACTTCGTATACAACAATGGTTTGACGTATTTTTATAAATAAAATAAAAATATTTCTAATGTCCGGATCGATATGCAAATTTGAAGAATGAATTTTCAGATATCGTAGATCCGAAAAAGGACGAAAAACAAATTAGCACTTTTTTGTAAGGCTCCCCACCACTCCCCTCACGCTACGATTTTTGGACGACCAAGTGATTTTGCATCAGAAAGATATTAGAAACGAATAAAAATAGGTTTTGCATTTTAGCAACAAAGTGCCCACCAAAATCTATTCTAGAAGCCTTTTTCCAGTCTATTTACTCTTCAGTATGGAATTGTATTAACTCTTGTACAAAACTAATATTTTTATGTTAAAACACGATTAAAATGTCAAAATGATAGCTTTTGTTATACAGATAAACTGTTTAGTTTAAATAATTTCCCCTTATTAATTTTGTACATAAATAATAAATAAAAAGAGCTTTGAGAATAGATTTCACAAATTCAATAAAACAGAGCATTTTAGTAATTCGGTTTATAAAGTTTATGTTGAATTATTTAATAATATACATAAAAATTATAATCATTACTTAGCTTCTGTTATCTTTGAATTTTGTTTTACTACTTCAACTGACCGCTGCCCTTGCAATATTTTTAAAATACAAAACATAAAATATAAAATAACCGCAAATTACTTTAATGTTTGAGTAGGAAATATGCAATACAACACGAGCTCCGGTCGCTTGACTAATATTCTTTAGAGCTGGCAACAGTGTCTGATCTCGCGTTGATCTGTAAATATCTAAAATTTCGTATATAAGTCTTCCCCTTCCCTTTTCAGCTACGGATCTCATTTTGTTGTAAATTTATCAAAAAAATTTAAATTCAAAAATCTTTTCCCCTCTAAGTGTGCCATGATTAATATGTTAATTATAAAGATAGTTATGAACAATATACTCCATTAATTAATTTCCTATTGGTGGATCTCGGGTTGTCCTCGATTTAATCGGATCTCGCCTTGATATGAAGACGTATATATATATATATATATATATATATAATATATATATATATGTATATATATTGAAATGATTTCAATATGTTAAAAAGGATACAACTTAAATGGATTTTTATATGAGTGTGTTGTTCATGAATTTCATGAAGCCATCACAATGTGGGTTCGACTCTGAAATAAAAGAGAGAAAAAGAAGAGTAAATTGTTAAATAAATTATTTTGACGTATCTGGTATAGTGTTAATAATTTCTGAATAGTATTTATAGTTGCCTAGTGTATAGGTGAATCGTCTAAACCTTAAAAAGAACAAAAAAGAAGAATTCTGAAAAAATATTTAAACATAGAAATTTTAAAAAAACGTCAGAAAATAAACTGTCAAGCAAGTCTGTGGGAGCTAAATTAATAGGGGTTTTGTTAAATAAGAAATTACAATGATATGGAGATGAAAAGAATAAATTGTAGTAGCATTGTAATAGAATAAGTTTTATATCTGAACATTTTTTTTTATAAATTCCCAAATTAGATATGATTAAAGTGATTATGAGAAATTAACGTGGATTGACAAATGTGTCAGAACAGGACAGTTTTATGGTTTAAAAAAAAATAGAAGACGAAAAGAAAAAGAACGTTGGTTGCTATTAGCAACGGATAATTGGTTTTTTGGAAGCCGACGAGGGTTTTTCGACGAAGGGGAGCCCTGAAACTGTGGAATAGGTCGGGAGTGTTTTTTAACTCGTCTACTTAGAATTTTAGTTTTTCCACGGTTTCCACAGCAGAGATATCCAGAATTTGTTTCAGAGAGTAAGAGAAACAATTTTACTTATAAATTATTATTGGAGTACAGAACTATCATTTAAATTGAGAAAATTAAAATTCATGAATTAACATAATTGCGATAGGCCTTAAAAATTGAAAATATTAATGATCATTAAATTAAAAATAGAATAGTACGTACCATAACTTCCGAAGAGAGGATTGATATTCCAGTTTCACCGATTATTTTGCGAGTAGTTAGTTTTCTTTAAAGAAATCAGAACTGTTTTAAAGTGAGATTGGATAATAATTTTGGGGATCATTTGAAATTTTGATTATATTTGAATGCAAGTTGAAAGTCAGCGGAATAAAGTGTTTATTTTCTTTTCCTTTATAGTTCATTTAAACACTTTATAAAGTTGCAATATTTATTTAGTTTTTAGGTACTTGTAGAGAGTCTCCACATTTTGTAATACATTTTTATTGTCACGACACTAAACCACAAGATTAACACGATTCCTATTTTCATAAATTTTTAAAGGCAACCCAAGTTGCAGACAAATTTTATTGTTTATATTAAATTTGTTCAATATTAATAAATAACGTGCTTCATTTGGGTTAATTTATCAAAAGTCTAAAGTAAATTTTGGTTTAATTTCTTTTTGAACTCTACCAGGAGACTACAGAGTCGACGTCACACAGTGACAGATTGCTAAGAACACATAATTGAGCTAGCTGAGGTATATATTAAATTCAACAACGAACCACATATTTTAAAAATTACAACATTTATTATAAATAAAAATAAAATTAATAAAATACAACTTTTTCAATATATACAAACAAACAAACAAAGGTAATGTTTGTGGATGGAACTTGAGGTAATGAGGTGGGTACAATATGCAAACCATCGTGAAAGTCATGATCTATTTAAAAAATTTTAACAAATAACCCTAGAGTTCAAGTCATAACTTCAAGCCATTTAAGGCCATAATGATGAAGTAAAAACCGATATAGCGAGCATTGTAGAGACTTAAAAAAATGACTGCTCAGAATTATACAAAGGCATTTCAAAAGATGCATTAGTTTCAGAAAATAACAAACATTGTAGTCAGAAGTGCAGAACCAATCATTTTACGAGCAGAAGTAGAGAAGGCTGTCAACCAACTAGGAAACAAAAAACCCCAGGGATTAATATCATAGAAGTTACGACTCTAAAAAAACGAAATTAGAGTAGATGTAATACTGGATATGTGCAACATAATATGGATCACAGGTGATTAAAATGATGACTGTTGCGAATCGACCTTTATCCTATCCATAAAAATGATTAAAGTAGAGTAAATAAAAAGAAAATTAGAGTAGATGTAATACTGGACATGTGCAACATAATATGGATCACAGGTGATTAAAATGATGACTGTTGCGAATCGACCTTTATCCTATCCATAAAAAGGATTAAAGTAGAGTAAATAAAAAGAAAATTAGAGTAGATGTAATACTGGACATGTGCAACATGATATGGATCACAGGTGATTGGTATGATGACTGTTGCGAATCGACCTTTATCCTATCCATGCAGCAATTAAAGGACCATTGCCCTCATTCCTAATGCAAGCAAAATCATGCTACATGTAATCAAGGAACGGTTAAAGAACTTTCTGATTTCAGAGATAATCAAAGAACAATGAGGATTTTTACCAGGAAAAAGAACGCGGAAGCAGATACTGAACACCAGGCAGATAATAGAGACAGCTACGGAATGCACCATACCAATGCTGCTCTGTTTCATAGATTCCCCAAAACTTTCGATTCAGGAAAATGCTACTCTCTCTGGGGTATATTGGAAAATATGGGAGTATCTAACCCCCTATTTAACCTATTAAGATTAAAGATGTAGAAGTAGACCACCAACCAGTTAAAGCG